AGCCCTGTAGTTATTAAATTTACATTTATCTTAAAAGTTGAGAATTGCCCAGCGGCTTAACGACGGGCCTGTCCATAACTGTTGCAATGATACTCAGAGCGAAATTAAATGGTAAAGATCTGAAGAGTACTGTCGCTGCGCCCGCCATATTGATACATAAGTTGACAAGTCCCATGTGCCTGTAATTTCACCAGCACCCTTGCCATTCCAAACCGGAACATAGTAATGCTAACATTACTGTTTGGCGGCAGAAATAGATTAGGTGTTAGTACTTCCCTGGATGAACTATTTCACAAGGAGATCTGCTGCTTCTATCATTCATTCGTGCATTCATTCGTTCAATCACTAACGGTGACATATTTTAATTTTTGTCTCGTTTATCAATTTCACTCTTTATATTTACAAACAGAAAGACATGCATGTTCGAGATATATTATATTAAAGATCTTTTTTGTAATGTCTTCATGTCATGATTGTTATTCCCCGAGCTATTACTCAAAAATCAGATTGATTTACATCTATGAGTCAGTAAACTAGTGTTCACAATTTCTCGTCCACATCACGGCTTTGCATCAGGTCAGGATCCTGGACAAGATTAAGGATATCTTTAATCGTAGAAAGAACCTAATTAACCTTTAGTACCTACTAGTAATTTGGTTCCTTCTATGCTCCGGTACTAGGAGTACCAGAGAGACGATATCTTCGGGGCACAACACGAAACCACTGTTTTTTATATCAAGTAACGGGACACGCTTGCCCATAACAACTGCAGTGTCTAAGGAGTACTGCCACTGCGCCCGTCACCCTTAGACACAAGTTGACAAGTCCCATGCGCCTGTAATTTCACCAGCACCCTTACCCTTCAAAACCGGAGCGTAGGAATGCTCACATTTCCGCTTTGCAGAGGCCGGGTAGTAAGGGATTGCTGGATGAGTAAGAGATACAAGAACGAGCGCCAGCGAGGCAAAATACAAAAAAAAGACGAAAAGACAAAACAATACCAAAACACGATCGTTTCCTCTTGCTTCTACGTGTTATTGCGATTTTCTTTAAGTAAGCGGTATGGGTTGGTATTTTTAATTCTCGCAATTAGTAATAGTAGGCAGTTGGCTTTATGAGTCTTTCTTTTGCCTGTTTACGTAGTTCTTTATTAGTAGTTATTATTAGTAGGTAGATTGAAAAGTTTAGAAAAGTGGACAGCAATGGATTTTTATACTTACTTTGCAAGCGGAGGGAAAGAAGTCACACGGTTCGTAAATAACAAACTTTCCGTATTCGTTTTTTGAAAGTAATGCAAACACTTCCTATTGTTTGAGAAAATTCTTTAAACATTTTGAAAAGAGTGTAGCAAAATGGTTCCCTGTGCCTATTTTTTTTTTATTACACCAAGCGATGGTAAGCGACACACCTGTCGTTAGCAGTTGCAGTGCCACTCAGAGCTTTAAATCGCAAAGATGCGCCACTGCGCCTGTCATCCTGAAATATAAGTTCACAAGTCTCATGTTTCATCAGTACCGTTGCCCTTCAAAACCATGGCAGAAATGGACAAGGTGGCGGGAATACTTTCCTTGGCGAACTCTTCACGAGGAACTCAACTGTTACTAAGGCTGCTGGTGCTGGCGTGCTCCCGCTGCATCAAGGAGGTTGTCGCTTTCTTATTACATTATTGATGTACACCTCGCAAATCTACGAATCAGCATATTACCTATACCCATGTCTATAGTAATGTGAGTACTACTGCGTTCCGGTTGTAGAAGGGAAAGGGTGCTGGTGAAATTACAGGCACATGGGACTTGTCAACTTATGTCTCAGGGTGACAGGCGCAGTGGCAGTGCCCCTCAGATCTTTACGATTTAAAGCTCTGGGTGCCACTGCAACTGAATAAAATAACAAACAAATTAATGACAAATGCTGTATATTTAATAATCTAATTCAATAATTTACTACAAATTGGACTTCTCCGGTGTTGACCGATTCAAAACTGGGCCGCGATCCAGGAGCTATAGCTGGTCACTCTGGCATAGGCTTCAGGGTAACCTTGTTCGCACTCGACGGCGTAGCCGAAGGACACGATACCGACCTAGGGAGGAATAAAAAATAAAATTATAGGTACCACAAAGCCAAAAGGCCAAAGAGACAGCATTCCTTCAGAGCGATGCCACACGATGCGTTGCGACTCCAGTGCGGCAACGTTCCGTTGTACTAGATATACCTAAATTAGAACTACATGCAACATGGTGCGTTGAAACGTGGTAGCGTGTAACGACGGAATACGTAAGCATCGGATAAGGGGACAGGAGGCAAAGAAAAACAAATGCTACTACCCATGCCTTCTACATTTTCAACCCTCGACCCCGTACGTTTAGTGCCAAAATATATTGATCTTGAGGCTATTTTGTCAAATTTAAAAAAAATAATAACTCAAGGTGTACAAGCGATATTTGTATTATCTCGGATACGAGTCGGACTAAGTCACAAGCGACATGCAAAGTGGATCTGAGTTTCTAGATTTCGGAATGAATACGAACCGGCAGTGCGTAAACGCGATTATCATCCTAAATCCGAAGTATCACAGGAGCCTCTCCTCTGACGTCAGTAATCTAAAGTCCCATTCGGGTTATTACGCAGCCATTCGGGCGTTGATGCTATCATTCGGGCGTTGTCATGGCCTTTCGGGAGTCGACGCCGCCGATCAGCCGTCGTCGGCTGCATACGGCCGCGATTGGAAATTCGCAGGAAGCATATTCGTTATCAACTCTAGTCGATCTGCGTCGTAAGAACTTTTTCTGACCACCTTAAGGCGATTTTGTGAAAACAAGTGTGATAACTTCCTAAGTAAGCGGTATTGCAATGCGACATCGCTCGTTTAACACTCGGAGCGTTGAAATCATAGCATTGTAATGATGCAATGCCCACGCAATCCCGGGTGGAATCCCTTTTAATCCCTCCTCCTCCTCCTTCGATCCCTCGCTGAGGATCATGACTTTGTGGAAGTACAACGTCAACCAATCCTCCTCATTGCACTCTGTCTTTGGCCAGGTGTAATGCGACGCTCACTGGTACTGCCAGACTTTTAGCTACCTGGTCACAACATCGTTTCGAACTTCGACCTTTAGGCCATTTGCTCTCAATACTGCTCGTAACAATCGGAAGGAGCAAACAGACGGAGGATAAGCATTTGTGATTTTGCAACTGCAATTCCTCAAGCACGGATACGTTCGTACGATGTGCAATCAAGGGAATCCTTAATAGGCAACGCACCACATCTCAAAAGCGTCAATTCTTTGCCCGCCAGCAGCTTTAAGCGTCTAGGCTTTCGCGCCATACAAAAATATGGAGAAGACTAGCGTGCGAACTATGAGTATGTTTGTTCCACATATTGCAAATGTTTCAATGAAAAAGAAAAGTAGACTGAAAAGCTTACCAGTCGTCGGTCGACTGTCAAAGGACCACCAGAATCTCCGCCGCACACAGAGCGGCCTCCATACCCAGAAGTACAGATGTTAGAAGCCGGAAGAAAGCTGAATGTTTCCGCACATTCTTCGTTGGATATCACCTGGAGATAAACGTGATGAAGCTGCTGGTCTTGCGTGATGATTCCGACTAAAGTATTGATAAAAAAATGTAGTTAAAACTTTTGGTAAAAAGTACAATGCGTAATTAACAATACGGCGTAATGTGCTATAGAAAATTGTCAGATTTAATAGATTAAGAGACGTTACTTTGCGGAAGTATATGTTAGTATAAATTAATGTAAATTAATTTGCTAACTGCCTCTGTGGCCAAACGGTTACCATGCTGGTCTCCCACGCAGAGTGTACGATTCCCGGCCCGGGTGTAATATTTGCATGGCCTAAATTTATATCTCTTGTGAGTTTGGGTCTAATTTGTGGTGTTCTATGTGTGTGTCCACTCGTGGCGCAGGGTTTCCCAAGTGCGGGGCTATGAGTGTGTACATTATTAATATATTATTATTTACACCGCGAACCCAGTGGAGGTTATATTACATCAGAGAGTTTCTTCGGCTGAGCGTCAAAAAAGAAGCGGCTCGGCGCTTTAGAACAAATGAAAATGAGATACAACAATAGAAAATAGAATAGAAAAATTCATCACCATCATCATATCAGCCGAAAGACGTCCACTGCTGATCATAGGCCTCCCCCAAAGATTTCCAGACTAGTCGATCGGACGCGACGTGAATCCATCGGTTACTCGCCACTCTTACCAGGCTCATGTCCATCTAGTAGGGGGCCGTCTCACGCCCTCCGGTTCGTGATCTCCATTCGAGAACCTTTCTGCCTTAACGGCCGTCAGTTCTACGAGCTGTGTGCCCTGCCCACTGTCAGTTCAACTTGCTAATCCTTTGAGCTAAGTCGGTGACTTTCGTTCTTTGAAATGAGGATTCGATCACGTAGATCATGTTTTTTTACGAGGTCCATAGTAAGGGGCCACGTCTAGCCGTAGGTCATCGCTGGCAACACGCACTGCTCGAAGACTTTTATCTTCAAGGACTGCGGTATTGCGGGCGAGAAGACGTCCCGGAACTTTCCGAAAGCTGCCCAAGTCGGATTCTGCCTAATTGGACGGTTTGTCCGAGGTAGACATACTCGTCAACAACTTCGAGTGTAGAAAGTTCCCACTGTTTTATGGGAATTGTAATAAATGAATAATTGAATGTTGCGTCATTACATTTATTGCGGGTATTTTCATGTTATAACGATGGTAATAGTAGTGGGGTAAAAATATGACCAACCGTTCTGTTATTTTCTAAGGTGTCAGCGCTGAATTACCAAATCGGTATTCGCTAAGTTACTCTAAGCGACACTAACGCTCAGCGTCGAGATCGGCGGCGAATGAAACTAATTTAGACGCTGGACTTTGACAGTTTTGTATAGAGTTTAGTGTTCTCTAACGAAATACAGCCTCGACTTCGCCTACCGCTTCGCCCACAGCCTCAATTTTAACTGTCAAATGTAAAAGCCTAAATTTTGTGGTCGTGAGTTATCGAAGTCCTCTGTAAATTTTTGTTATTATTTGTTATTTGATCATAAAAATGGCTGCATGTCTGTTATGCTATTCATTAGAAGGGGCCGTCGAGTATATAACCAAAAATAGAAACGAAATGTCATTTAATTTGTTTCAAAACAATTCTGACAAATCATTACGGCGACAACTGCGCTCCGATTGGCCAGCCCGAATTCGAAACAATTGACGGACTTCGACAATTGTTTCACTTCAAATCGACCAGTTTAAATTGAGCTTTGCTATAATACACGAAAATTTAAAAATTACGTATTTAATATCTAATGATGAAATGTGATTCCGTTTGTTTTGTAATTAGATGTTTAGCTGTTTTTCCCACACTACGGAATAGAACAGCCCCTGTTGGTAGAGATATTATCTTTATTACAATAAATGCAGAATTTTGCTTTGGGGTAATGCCGCCGATATCAACAGAATCTTTGTCCTGCAGAAACGTACAGTTAGGGCAATTTACAATCTGGGCCCCAAAGTATCTTTGAGAGATAAGTTTAAGGAAATTAATATTCTTACACTAGCCTCACAGTACATTTATGAAAAGGAATAGTAATTTATTTATGAAAAATAGTGACAGACATAATATTAATACGAGGAATAGAAATAAACTAGCTTTTCTTGATAGTCGTCTTCACAAAGTCAAACAATCATTTAAGGGGCAATGTATACGCTTCTATAACAAGATTCCGGTTGATATACAAAATTTGCCTTTCACGAGATTTAAAACTATAGTGAAACAAAAACTTTATACTAAAGGTTATTATACAACTTCTGCGTACTTGGATGACAAAAATCCGTGGTAGTAACCCGTTTAGCTCATGAAGGTAGTCTCGATCTCTGATGTTTCAAATAAAAAAAAAATATTGTAAATGTTATTTACAAAGAGCAACCCCTAGAGTTTCTTGCTCATTCTTCTCAGGGGAATCTGCCTTACGAATGAGCGGTAGAGTTTAACCATTGTGACGATTTCAAGTGTAATAATGCTTACCTATGAAATAAAGATTATTTTGAATTTGAATTTGAATTTGAATTTGACGTTTAAAAAATAAGACAGGACAGTGGTCGGCAAGACGCGACTCTCGAGTCTACGACTCTTTGACCCCCTGAGTGGGGCTCTTCCCCAAAATACCGATACCGATTGAGGTGTACAAGACAAGAGTTAGATGGGGTGAACTCAGCGGACGTCAACAACAGGGACGTTTTTAGGAACTTCCAGCTTAGGAGCACCTGAGCTAATAATAATGGACCTACCTAAATACTTTGTTTAAAACAATTGGTTCTCAAATGAACGGTACCTGGCTGAGCGAAGACAAAATAGATTTCTCACAGACAAAAAAGTCGATAAAAAGAAACAAAACAAAGATCAGCAACACGCGCCATCTAGCGACAACGCAAAGTAACAAATTGTTTCGTAATAAAAATGTTTGCTATGTTGTTATGTTACATTAGTATATTTTCGAACATTTTAAGGTCAGAGTGAGGCAATGAGGCCAGCAAGCGTATTCAATTTTCAACCTACTTCAAAAAAAGGAGGAGGTTCACAATCGACTGTAAGTCTTTTTTTGATGAATCTGATGATTTTGATGATTGTGTTTTTAGTAGTGGGTTCGTTTGAATTTGAAGAAAATATCCGCCTCTAAGGGTGGCAAAGTAGGGGATGAATCCGGGTTTGTGAACTTTTGCGGTGACCGATTTCAATAAAACTTGGCAAATAGATATAATTCCACGAACTTTTGAGGTCGGTTTTTGCTGATATCTAATTAGTGTTTAATTAAGGTAATATAAAAGCAGGTAAGGTAAAAAAAAACAATAAAAGCTTAAATACTAGAATGTAAAACTAGGATTTTTAAATTATATGAATAAAATTGGGTCCCCGCGGCAAGGTGCCCAAGATGCTGGCAGCGTTGCCCCTTTGTATTGCTATGCTAATGCGTTGGGCAATGTAGCCGGCCCTTGGGTTTCCCAGACAGTCTATTAATTTTTTCGATAAAATTTTGTATAGATGAAGGGCACTGGGGCTCCACGGGCCAGGGGGTTCATCTCCAAAGGCTGTAAATAGGTAGTCGGAGCCGAGATCCTGTACTTATTGCTTTTATTCTTTCTATTTCCGCCAGCTCAGCTGCGGAGCCAGTCCTCTTCCTGGTGTGCTGGAGATGGGATGGGGCAAGTGTGTCGGCACATGTGGCGTCCCAGACCAGTGCCCGGCCCCGTCGGTTTTTTAGTACTCTGTACTGAGATTATCCATAATATTGTTCCAATATAGCATCACCGGGAATCAACTTAGCTCTTCTAGAGTAACTTTCGAAACTGCTGGCATTTCGTCAGTAACTTCAGTGGAAAAAAATGATCAAAGTCACTTGAGAAAAACTTTAAGAAAAATTACTTTTGAATTTGGAAATTAAACTTAACATAATAATAATACATACAATTTTGCGATGCTGTTCGGATGAATGTTGTTGGAGACAATGGTGAGGTATCAAGTCGATGTCTTCGAAATATACGTGAATGTGTTGCTTGTTCGATATATTGAGTGATCAAACACTCTTGTTTGCTGTTTGTTCGGAGTGGATTGGAACAGACTTTACATTCTTTCCAGAATTGGTTACCTACGAGACAGGCTTTGCCTAGTGTAGGAGCCAGTGTAACCGGTTTAGATAAAGTTTAAAAGTACATGTCTTAAACATACGTATTCCATAAAGTGTAATATGTTCCTGTTCCTGTTATCGGTAACTGAACTGTATTTTTTTTTATGTACAAATAAATAAATTACTTACTTACTTACTTACACAAAAAATTACAAGGAAAAAAAAGTGTATATATGCAGTGTAGTTTATATACTTAATTCAAATCCTGTAGCACCCCCTGGACAGCATCAACGCCCCCGTTTTGCTTCCGAGGCCCCTACCGAGACCTCTAGGACTCTTCAGCGCCCACTGTGTAGGGACCACTTGGGAAAGTATGCTTTAAGACACAAGACTACATTCATAAATCATTTCACGATTTTTTTGCGAGTAACACAAATCGTCGTCTTATTTTCACAAACTCCTAAAGCACAAAGTTACTGAAATGCAAAATAGGATTGTATATACAAATTTGCAGCCTAATTTCACATCATATTTCCTTCCTATTCACACGCTGGCTTTTGCCTATTCTTAAAGTAATGCATCCAAATTAAGATCCTTGATAAGAAATTTAAAATAAATAAAAAGTTTTGTTATCTCATGAATAATCGCTCTTTATATGATACGAGATTGGGAAAGTAAGGCGTCGTTATGCTGAATACCGTCCACTTGCAAATGCGTCTGAGTCACGATACCTTATGGACGTTAAATTGCAAAGACGTCACGTTCGCGGTACATCCCGCAAAAGTCCATATTCAAATTATGCATTATCAAATCAACTAATCTGCAATTGATTATACTGTTATTTTAGAATTCTAACACATAAGATGGAATGATAAGATGAAACAGCACATCGAAATGACTCATTTGGATAATTTATTTGATAAACAATTTATATAAAAAGGGATAGTTTAGGCTCTGTCTGTATTCGACACAGTGTCACGATGAAGCTGTTCTTGGTTTTGGTGTTGGTCGGTGTGGCGTTGACACTGCCCGTGAAAAACCAACATGCAGAAAGAACAATGTGAGTGTTTACTGTACCTTACTAATATAGTCAAAGTAAAATAATCTTTATTTCATAGGTAACAAAAATTACACTTGAAATCGTCATACTGATTAAACTCTACTGCTCACTCGTAAGGGCGCGTTCCCACTATTTCGTAACGTTTTATTTATCGTTGGACTGTGTCGTGGACCTTTATTTTATCGTTGAACGACTGTCGACAATTTATCGGTTAACGGCAGCCGCCTAGTCGTTTGCACGACTGTCGTCACATTTTTATCGTGAAGTTTTATTTATCGTCAGACGACTGTCATTTTAGCACTTCTTCTTATCACGACAGTCTGTCATCGTAACGTCAGAAGTCGTGAACGATAGTTAATCGTATTGTACTATATGTGAACAACTTCATTTAAATATACAAGTCACGACACTTTAAACTGCACGACTATCTGTCGTCACGACATAATGGATTCCCCTGAGAAGAACGAGCAAGAAACTCTAGGGGTTGTTCTTTATAAATATACATCTGAATACATTTATCATTACAATATTTAATTTAAACATTTAGATCGAGAATACGTGAAAGAGCTAAACGTGTCACTACTGTTTCTTTTTCTGTAGGTAGATGCTGTTTCTGTAGGTCTGCTTCTTATTATTACTTATAAAGCAAAAGTGTGACTCATCTGGCCTCTGAGCCAGGAGTGCTCAGAAGCCATTTTTTTTATTCCTAGACGAAAGCGGAACTGATAATGGTGCAAGACCTTCAACATAGAAGGTAAAAGTTCTTTTTTCGATAATATCAAGAGACGGGATGAACAAGTCGTGCGTCTGGTAGCTAGCAACAGGCCTATCCATGACAGTTGCAGTGACAAATATCCGTGGGGTACTAACGCTGCGTCCATTACTCTGAAACATAAGTTGGCAAGTTGCGGAGTATAATACCGCAACGCGGCCTCCTTTCGGCGACTGGAATGAGCACGAGCAAATTCGTGTCGTATAAATGCGTCGTTAAGGTACAATTACCAATGGACCCAAGACGGAAAAACTTTTTATCTACACACATACCATAAACTCTCTATAATGCGTTCAAAAACCGCAAATTACGACCAGCGTAAAGGTAAACTGGTTTATTAGTACAAATTTCTTATCTGTGAAAATGACATGAATGAATAAAATCGAATTCGATGTTATTATTACATTAAAATTTCGAACATCTCTGAAAAACAAAACAATTTAATTGGACCTTAATTCTAATATCAGTCGAGATGAAGTTTTATTCGAAATGAAATGTCAATAGCAAACAATTTTGACAATTTCACACGTTACTTGATATCGAACGATATGATAATTGGGGCCGATTCTAGTTTGTCTATGAATTAAAAATAAAAACTACAGGATTCGGATACAGGAAAAGTGTCGTTTTTATTTTGACTTTCAATTATTTTGTGAAATCTAGTTTAAGGTGGAATAGGATAGTGCTATTGTACCTTAATCGAAGATTAAAACGCGAAATTGTACGAATCTCGAACTAAAATACCCGAATCGGCTCGTTTAAGGAATCCCGAGTCAATCCAAGCACGCCGCCTCAAATTGCCTATCCTCTTTGTGGCGGCCATATTTACAGAAACATAATTAAAACTTCATGTTTAGGCTGATGGCTTTGCCAAAGCCTTAATTAAAAAAAAAAACCTACAGTTGTGTGTGTGACATGCTTGAGAAAAGTTTTAATTTCCCGCCATTTCGCCAGTCGTAACATGTGGTTCCTGAACACATCACAGAGAGCTTATAATATTATGACGTAACAGTCACATTAACTACTATGTTTATTACACAATGTGACGAGACAAACAAGTCGTGGGCATGGTGGAAAGTGACTATTCCATAACAGTTACAATGCCACCCAGAACTTTAACTCACAAAGATCCGAGGGGCACTGCCACTGCGTCACCATCACTATGAGACGTTGACAAGTCACATGTACCTGTAATATCACCAGCACCGGTTCTGAAGTTCTGAAGTTCAGCACAGGGTGAGCCTTACCCTTCAAAACCGGAACGCAGTAATGCACACATTATTGCTTGGCGACAGAAATAGGTAAGGTGGCATAATTTCCCTGGAAGAACTCTTTCATAAGCTCTACTTCTACTAATTTTCTAAGGCCTGCCCTGTGGCACCGTGCCTGGTAGTCCGGTAACGTATATGTTTGGCTTTCAGTTACTACCACGAAGCCATCGGTATTAAACAAGCTGCCCGCATAAAGGCAGCAGAAAAATCCACTGACTTCTCCGGCGTCAGAATCGTCGGAGGCTCCGATGCTGCCCTGGGCCAATTCACATTTGTTGTGAGTTATCAAATTGAAATGTCCATGACAAACGTTTTTTATTTCGGTCTTTTAATAAACAAAGCAATAAGTAAAAGTAAGTTACACTACACACACTTAATAGCATATAATTATAATGTACTTATTGCAAGGATTATGCAAGTATTTATTCATTTAGCGACACACACGTCCGCCACTCACTCGCTAGGGTCTGAAAATCAGCGTCACAGACCATCCTCGGCTGTAGTTTTATATGAAATCCTTGTGCATACGCCACAGTCGCACAAATGGCAGTAAGTATTGAGTTGTAAAGTGTTTTTTTGAAATGAGACAGTATTGTTAAATCCGAATTCATAGAAGTTACGAGGAAGCTCTCTTAGGAACCATTAAATCTTTTTTGGTCGAATTTGTGAAAAATGATCAAAATTTTTTTATTGTATCTAGTAACAGTTGTAGTGGCCACTCAGCTTTAAATCGCAAAGATCTGAAGGGCACTACCACCGCGCCCCCTGAGACATAAGTTGACATGTGCCTGTAATTTCACCAGCACCCTTATCCTTCAAAACCGGAACACAGTAATGCCGATGTTACTGCTTGGCGGCAGAAATAGGTAAGGTGGCATTATTTCCCTGGAATAACTCATTTATAAGGAGGTCTACTGCTGCTGTTTCTTATATGGTAAATTTCATTGTACGCGACGAAAAATACCAGGACAGCAGAAGTTCACGGACAGTGTTACACACTTTCCATTATCGGGGGATCAAACGTAGGTTAGGGTTCCACCACTAAGTTGTGGATATTCCAAGAATTCGTAAGAAGTGTTTGGCTTCCATATTTATATGGCGAATGGCTATGGAGTGGAATTCCCTGCCTGCAGACTTGTTCCCTGAATACTATATCTTGGACCTTTTCAAGGCGAGAGTGAATAGATATTTTTAGGTGTGCATGCTCCACCGTCGACCTCGTCGTCACTTTCCATCAGGAGAGTGAGATGGAGGTCAAACGCGCACTTAGTTAAATAACTTAGTTCGTGGAATTACATCTATTTGCCAAGTTTTATTGGAATCGGTTACCGGAAAGTGTACGAAACCAGATTCGTCAGGGGATGATTTAATTTTATTGGTCCCATTTGAATTTGAAGAAAATATTCCATCTCTAAGGGTGGCAAAGGAGTATATAGGTGGTAGGGAGTGTACCACTGAGGTGTCCTCTTTCCAACAAAAAAAGAATCATCAAAATCGGTTCACAAATGCTGGAGTTATCGCGTAACATACATACAAAAAAATAACATTCCAACCAACAACCTTCTCCTTTGTTTGAACTCGGTTAAAATTTTTTTTAGAAAATTATTCATAATGTTATACAAAATTTTATCACCTATATTATAAAAATATAATATCATAATTATGTAATTTAATAAAATAAATGCGTAATAATAATATCACGGAGTAAATAAACGCAATTATTAAGAAGATTTAATTGACAAATATTATTAATATACAATACTACAATAATTTGATGATTAATTCACAATTAATTGATATTTAAGTAATTTTTAAATTGAAATTTTTAATAAATAAATCTATTTATTTTTAAAATACTTTAAATTAAATTTGATAACCATTTTAAATTTAAATCATTTAACTTTCTGAATATATTTCCTTAGATTTATTTAGTTTCATTGTAATAATATTATTATTAATAATGTTTATGTTAAAATTGACATTGCTGGTACATTTTTGATACTTTACCAACTACTATATTATATGTTTTGCAATAAACGATATTATTATTATGGTCGTATACGTTTTTTGTACTTTAACGTAGTATTTCGCCGCCTTCCTTTCTCAAACTCGTATCTTAAAGCACAAAGTTACTGCAATGCAAAAATTAGATTGTATATACAAATTATGCAGGCTGATTTCATAATCATACATTTCCTTCATATTCTCACACTGTCTTTTATGTATTCTTAAAGTAATGCATGCAAATTAACAACACCCTTGATAAGAAATTTAAAATAAATAAAAAGTTTTGTTATCTCCTGAATAATCACTCTTAATAAGATACGAGTTTAAGAAAGTAAGGCATCGATTTTCTAGTTATTAAAATATGTACTGATAATTCCAGGGTGGACTGGTCATCACTTTGTTGTCAGGTGAGACCTCGGTCTGCGGAGCCACGATGCTTAGAAACAACCGCGCGGTCACTGCCGCTGAGTGCTGGTGGGACGGAAGGAACCATGCTACGCAGTTCACTGTTGTTTATGGGTCCCTTACTCTATTCAGTGGAGGCACTAGAGTAAACGCTTCCAGCGTAAGTTAGGTTTTTGTATATCATGTTCCGGTGATACATGCAGGTGCCTGGTGGTAGGCTATACTGGCTGTGCACCACAGTTGCATGCCACTCAGAGCTGTAAATGACAAAGACCTGAAGGGCACTCCCGCTGTGCCCCTAACCCTGAGACATAAGTTAACAAGCCCCTTATGCCTGTAATTTCTCAATTTGTGATCTATGAGATCTTTGTTACTTATAGCTCTGGGCGGGTTGGCATATTTTGTGCCATCACTCGATTTATTAAAAAGATAAAAAATAATCTCCCTACTATCTGAAAGAGCGTTTCAACTTTCTCAGGTGTCAGGACAAACCCTATCGCTCCCTCGTTAGGTCCCAGTTATCTTTTCAATGCTGCAATTCCGGTTTTTATTCTCACTCCGTCACTGTTCATGTGGTCAGAGTTTGGAACGCGCTTTCTATTTCTGTTCATGAAAGTACATCGTTAGTTGCTTTTAAATTAAGAGTTATGGAGCATTATTTATCTACTGTTCCATCCATTTTATAGGTGTTTTATTATGAAGTATGTATTTACCTAGTTTAATGTTATTAATATTGAATTAAGTAAAATTGAAGTAAGCCCATTATTGTACCTATTTAGGTCTGCAGGAAGAAATTTCTTATAGAAATAAGCGGCACCTTTG